TCATTGAATTAGGATGTGACACACACTTTCTTCCCATACCTCATGGTCCACAGTGTTACTATCTTGTGCCCAGTCCCCTCCCCACTGAGTCCTCCAGTCTTCTCTCCCTGTATCACTGGCTGTGGCTACCAGTGCAAGAAGGGAGATTGCATGCTGTTTACAGAGGGAAGAGAAAGAAAGTCCTTAGCTACCAAGGGTTCCAATACAAAACTTCATTTATAAATTTGTTCCGTTGGAATTAGAAACATTTAAATGTTTTTTTTAGAATTGTTAACACAGTTGAGAGGGAAAGTTATTTGATATAGGAGATGGTCATTTGGCCAACTAAAAGGATCTCTTTATATTTTCATAATTGAGAAGTCAAAATCAGTCTAGGGACATGGTTTATTTTTCCATAATGATGCAAGGATTCGGAAACAGACTAAAGACAATTTGAGTTTCTGAATCCATCACACTATTTCTTCTGTTCCTTTTTATTTCATACTTGAGTCTTGCTTCTCTGGCTGGGAGATTGTAGATATACCACTGAAATCAAAGTAATGAAAACAATGAAATAGCGTAAGCCTTGGTAAACAAATAGAAAAATCATGAAAATGCTGTTGCTTACTCTCTATTCATGCTGAAAAAGAAATTAGAGACACTGCTGTCTTCTACTCAGCAAAGAAGAAAATCAGTTTCTCTTGACTGCTAAGAAGCAGACTCAACTCCACTTCCATGGGCCAGCTCAAGCATGACCCCTGTGCTCTTCAGACAGAACTTACAACCGTTCCATGCCCTATTTGCTCTTCTGTCACAAAAATATCCACCCTGGCTCATTGTCCAGTTTGTTTTGACAATGGACTGGTTTCTACGCGGTTGTTGAATTATGATATGCGCGGTGATCTCTACCATGGGGTTTCTTGTATAATAAGTAAACAAAAATAATGTGTGTTGAATTTATCTAAATTGAATCATATTGGGATTATTCCTTCGTTGTTTTGTTGCTGATTACTATAACAAAAAATTCAAATACGGAAAAATATTTTAAAACACACACACAAAGAGAGGCCAGAAACACCGTGGGGAACACGAAGACAGCAGATAGGGAAGAAGGAAAGGAGGAGGAAGAGAAACAAGCGGGAAAATGGGAGGTTACTAAAATCAAAGGCAAATTCACTTCCATATTAAACTGCATCTAATATGGCTTGCCTTTTCGCATACTAAAATACAAAGAATTGGGTTTAGCTGCTGGAACTAGCTAAAAAACAGTCATGTCTAATTCCACTCAGAATATTTTAGAAAATGTAACACTTTAATGAAGAATAAAAGAATTGATGTCAGTTTAAAGTAATTGTCCTCCACAAAAATATCATTTACAATAAAACTGCTAAAACCACAAAGCTTAAATTTAAGTATGTTTCCATATTTTAAGTGTCTGTTCCCCTACAGCATTATCTTTTGCCTTTACTGCCTTATTCACATTCCTGTCTAACATTTCAACTGGGAACACAGTGCTCCTAGATTTAGAAAGTATCCTATGACAAATCACATTGAAAAGGGATAGTTTCTGCACACCCACCCAGAGAGACCCCTAGTTCTTTAAGAAGGCTGAATTTAGGCTTTTTCACAAACCAGTGTCTGGAAACAATACTGAGTTCCTTAGCACATGCCATCTTATCAGCTTTGAGAATTGCTGTTTAATATGCTTCTAGAACCTCAGAGGAATCAAATCTATATTGTGTTTGCCTGGTGAAAAGAGAAGAGGAGTTGATGAAAATATGCAAGAAAGATGCCCCCACCCCATGGAATAAAATTGCAGCAAATTAGATGTTCTGAGAATCTAGAGTTTTCTAATCTATCTAAATTCATTTTATCTGAAAAGACATTAGTGAAGAAAATTTGTTTTTATTGCGCTGATGAATAAATGACAAAGTTAATGCAAATCAGTTATATCCTAACCTCCTGAATTTTCTATGAAATCTTTATGCATGGGGATGCAGATAAGATCATTTGTTGCCATTCACAGAAAAGAAGATTATAACAATTTCCTAAATAGCTGAATCTCTCATTATTAAGTTTACTGCACATCATTTTTTGACATTCCAAGAGCATTCCATTTCTTATGACTTCTTTCCTTAGGCTGCTGTCAGTCACCACAGCAAGAGCTCACCAGTTCTCAACCCATTCAGTGATGCAATTGAGCCAGAGTGCTGGAGAAAGGCAGCTTCTTTGCCAACTGCAGTGAGCATCCTTGCAAAATGGCTAAGTCTTTGCCTATCTCCTAATAGGTGATTGGGCAAGTTTCCTGCCCAGGGTTTCTTAGACTTTAATGATCATTGCTAATTAAAATACAGACCAGAAGTTATTACAATACAGATTTCTGCCTCCTCATTCGCATTTGCCACATCTGAGGTGGAACTTGAAAATTGACATTTTAAATGAGGGTACCGGGTGAATCCAGTGACAAGGTGCTGTGGGCAACACTCTCAGAAAAGGTGGTTACAAACATGAAAAGCAGAGACAAATATCTAGCAGAAGGATGAATAACAAAAATCTATTCAAAGACCTTAAGGCCTGAAACTCTACAACTGTTGGAGAAAGCCAAGGGAAAACACTTCAAGTATAGGCACAAGCAAGAATTGTCTTCTTTAAATTTCTGTGAATTTCATACATCTTGATCATATTTAGACCCCCCTCCCCTGCCAGCAACCCCACCATAGCCCCCAACCAGGTGTCATGCATTCTGTCATATATGGCAGAAGGATTTCTTTTTTAATACTTTTTTATTTTTTGAGAATTTCACATATAAGTATCGTATTTGTATCATTTCCACCCCTCACAGTCCCCCCTCCAACTCCTCCCATGTCCCCCAGCTCCCTCTCAATTTCTTGCCCTCGCCTTGATTATTATTGTTACATACATATATATTTATAAAATAAAATGCACTGAATTCATTCAGTGGTGCTCATATGTACATGTGTTTACAGCTGACCATTTGGAAATATGTAACTTATCCCTCAGCTTCAGATGTGGAGGTTCCACTGTCGATGTATCAGTTAGGGCTGGACACCTGCAGTCACTTATTGTCTGTGTTTGACCAATTGAGGAACTTTGTAGTAGTCTCCTTCAATAGCAATATAAACACTTCTTTGATGAGCAGCTATCCTCAGGCAAGGACTTTCTGAAAGGGTCTCCACTAGTTCGAGAAATAATACCAAGCATTAACAAATGAGATTGCATGAAATTAAAGAAGCTTCTCCACTGTGAAGGAAACAATCAAGTGAAAAGACAGTCTGTGTAGAATGTACTAGCTCTCCAACTGATATAGCATTGATATCTATCATAAATTTAAACTCAATACCAAAAAAAATCACAAACAACCCAATGAGTAAATGGCCTCATGAAATGAGAACAAACAACAAATGCTGGTGGGGGCAAGAGGAGGAGGAAGCATATACACAGCTGGTAGAAATGTAATTGGTGCAGCCACTTTGGAAGTCCAGTGTGGTTTCTTTAAAAACTAAAGCTAGAACTACCATATGGTCTGGCTATGACACTCCTAGGTATATCCAAAGGACTCTAAGTCTATATGCCACAGAGATACTTGCACATCCGTATTTACTGCTGCACAATAGCGAAGAAATGGAACCAGCTTAGATGTCTGTCAAGAGGGGACTGGATAGAGAAATGTGGTAATGTGGTACATACATTCACACACACACACACACAGAGAGAGAGAGAGAGAGAGAGAGAGAGAGAGAGAGAGAATTTATGCAATGTAGCTTTACTCAGCCGCAAATAAAAATTATGCTGTTTGCTAGAAAACGGATGCCATTGGAGAACAAAATAGGTCAGACTCAGAAGACAAATATGTTTCTTCTCATCTGTGTATTCTTCTAATGTAACATGAAAGCAGAAGAGAGAGGAGATGGGGGAAGGAAGAAGGAGACTAGAGGGAAGGGGAAAGAGGAGGGAGGAGGGGATGATATCATCAAAGTACATAATATACTTTAAATTGTCTTTGTGAAACCTTATCACTGCTTACAAAAAATATTCACCAGTAAAATTTTTGATCAAAAATCATTCATTTAAAGCTTATTTTTAAGCACTTGATCCTCAAATCTGAAATAATCTTCCTTGATGAAGATAGCTGAAGAAGCACCCACTGAAAATTGTCATGAGCCTGTTCCTTGGTCCCTTTTAGATCTATATACTGTTAGGACTCCTTTTCGTTCTCCGTCATCTTCTCTATATTTAATATTATAATCATACAGATTTGGTGTTAAGAGGCATTGAGGCAAAAGTCAAGTCCATGTTAATGAAGTTGAAAGTATTATGGTCAAGAGGCCATATAACAAATAATTTCAAACCAGTAGATACAAGGGAGTCAAAGGAAAAGTCTGCTCCTGTGGTAAGACCAAGATTCTGACAAGTCAGTGACGAGTGGCTTGGCTTAGCTGCTGTGTCAGTTGGTCATTCCCTGCAACTGCCCCTGACAGGCATTCCGATCCACTGAGCATGCCCATTGTGTGACTGACTTTCACCAAATAGAACTATCAAGATCACCTAAAGGCTTTACCAACATTAGGCCAGCAAAGTGGCCTCTGAAAATCGTTCCTAGATTTGTTATCAATAGGCCCAAGAATAGGGAGAGCAACTCCTTCCATCTGTAACAATGGTTTGAATCCCAGTTTCTAATTTCTTCCTCTCAGACACACTGGTCTGCACCAAAGACATAACGTTCGTTGAGATGCAGCCATCTTGGTTAGCAGGAACTCAGAAGCAAAAAAATGTCAAGGTGGTAGAAGACAGCGTCGTCCACCTCAACAACAAGCCCATCACTAGAAGCTCCCAGATCTCTGTGCCAATCAAGTGAGGAAGGACTTTCACTTAGGGGACCATATGTGAACCTTATGTGAGAAACTTGCCTACGTGGTCCATTGACTTTTTCGTTGTACTGTTTCTAATACTTAGGTGCTATCTCTTAGAAAGCCTAAAACTGCTAAGATCTAACTCCCAGCATGGAAGGCTCCACAGGTAAGCCTCGCTGGATCCTGAGGAGTTAGGGCCCTGATGTATGTTTGCCTGAGCAATCATACACCTCAAAGATTTTGTGAAACATTTGTGCTAAAGTCTGATTACCTTCTTTTATTTTCCATTTATTTTAAAGTAATAATACTGATTATGAAGGACCAGAATAGACTGGAAGCCTTTGATATGTTGTGCTTTAAAATTTTATAATCTGTTTTAGGAAAATGTAATTGTGTAGCAGGAAAACCAATTCTTATTTAATGTTAAATATTTGAAAAATCACTGGCAATTTTTTTTTCCAATTTTTCAGTGTGGCTCTCTTCTTACTTTGCCAGAAGTTCTGTACTAATAGGCTATGTACTTGATTTGAAGGCCCATGGGAAATCTCTACCTCCAAAAGCATTCTACCTACCAGCCTGCCATTGGCCTATATTGTTGAAGTCTTTGACTTCAATTGGTTGTTGTTGTTGTTGTTGTTGTTGTCATGGTAATTTTGTTGTTTTCTAGAGTTTTTATCAAAAACATGTGTTTCTAGAAAGCACAAGTCAGAACATTAAGGTTTTTTTCAGGAAAGAGCCCAGTCTCAGGAGCATGGGCCTGGAAGAAGGTCCTTGCAGGCACAGAAAAGTAGTCAGAAAGAGAGGATGCGTTAAAGGGGGAAGGGAGAGAAATAAAGCATGTTCTGCTCTTGCCCATAAGTAAGGATTCATCTCACTAACTCTTACACCTGAGCCTTGCTGGAGAGCACATGGAAGATGGCACACACTTGACTAGGGGCATTAATGGGAATTCAGCATCTTTTCTCTTCACCTCTACACTGATTTTGCAATTCAGAGCAGTTACTGTGCACCTCTTTATTTCAAGTACTTTGGGAATAGGATCTGAGGACAGCGTCTATTCCTACCATCAAAGAGCTAGCAATCTAGGAAGAGATAAAGGAGAGAAAGTGGGGGAGACAACAAATGAAATGTTTGTGACTAACTACAAAGGAACTAATAGGGAGAAACAGCTCAATGCATGTTTTAATTTTTGTGCACTTTAGAGCTGTTTGGAGATATTAACCTCACCCTTGGGATGCTGAGTAAAGAAGATAATATTAACAAGGTATGTAAAAACCTCTTTCCTGTTCACCTTTTCTAATCCAGTGTTGAGACATGTTATACATTCTTTGCTTCAACTTCCTTTATCTGCCTTGAGATTTTCTGTCATTCGAGATTTCAGGAAATGCATTTGTAATAGGTCATCATAGTGCTGAAATAATGGTATTCAGTGTTTCAGGAACCAGAGAAGCTAACAAATGATACTCTTATTCATAACCTCGCATAGGTAGACATGGAAAGAGGGGAATGTCAGACTTACAAGCACCTGAGTTAGAATCTCCTCCTTTGTAACATGAGGGCTCCTTTGAAAATTCCCCAGAGGCCTCCAATGCTCATCTCAACAGCCAAATAACAGTAACTGCCACTCACTGAGCACTTTTCTAGGAAGTGGAGTGCTTGATGGTGTCCACACGATGATGCCTTATGCAATATTCATTCCTCACAACAACTTTGTGAGGTAGGTATTTCTGTCTCTATTTGACAACTGAGAAAAATGGAGCACCAATAAGTTACATGACTTGCTCAAACAGGGACAGATGAACTCTGCCCAGATAGAAGCCCATTTAACTCCAACAAAGTGTTCTTAATAGTTGTTCAGTGTTGCCTCTTGTGAAAGGCAATGGGTTACATTTCTGTCTCTTCATTTAGTGCTGCTCAACCCCAGCTGTATAGTCTTGGGAAAAGCACCAAACACTGGGCCTCACTGTCAGAGATTCTTATTAGATCCATCAGTGATGAACCTAGGCATGGTCCTGACAATTAAGTATGATTAACAACTGTTTTTGTGAATTTCTTAGTAGAAATTAACTTTTCCATAGAGCACTGTTTCTCAAACACTTGGAAATGGGAAGATCTCTATGAGTTCAAGGACAACACAGTGGAGATAGTGAGTTCCAGGCAAGCCAGAGCTACATAGTGAAAAACTGTGTCAAATAATAACAGTAGTAGCAGTAGTAGTAGTAATAATGGAAATGTTCCCAGGTATGGCCACAAAATGAAGACAGCCAGTACTACAGCCAATGGGTTAAAGAGTCAGCTAAGATTCAGATACTCAGGTTCAAAGTGTGACATAAGCACTCAATGCTAACCACAAGTGAAGCTCTCTGTGACTCAGGTTCCTCAGTTATAAAATGAGTCTATTGGTGGCACCTAACATAAAGCCTTGTTGTGAACATTGTGTTCCAAATATAAGGTCTAGCCTAGTTCCAAAAACATGGTAAAGGCTCCATAAGGTGACCCTTGCTAAGACAGCAAGGTCTTCAGAAAACAGAAACTATACATGGAGCAAGACATGGATTCATAGGTGGTCAGGAAGGCTGAGAAAGCACATATGAAAAGAAAAAAAAACTACATCTTATGCAGTTTCTGAGGGCCAATCCTAAGGATTAATTTTTTAAAAAAAAAAAAAAAAAAAAAAAAAAAATGGGGGCCCCGTGGGGAGAATTTAAAT